CTTTGGGACTTGACGACATTGGAACCAGACTCAGCATTGGGATTCAGACATTTGACGAGGGATTATTTGGGGCCTGTGCCGAAGACTTGGTGTTGACGACATTCCCATCTTCCCCTCTTCTTCGTCTAACCCCCCTCTTCTTCGTCTGTGTATGGTTGGGGACTGGCGCATTCTTCCTGTGTGAGCGCCAGGCCCCTTCACACCATGGAATGATGATGATGTATGTTTGGGGCTGCATGGCAACATTGATTGTTCAGATCATTGGTAGCTAAGTCTTCCGCTATGCTATCTTGTACTTGTGAGAGAGGTCGGTTCTTGTTCTGGTCTGCACCGTTATGGTATGCGACATTCCCCCTTTCTGTTCTAGTCTGGATACTCTTGACTTGGAGATTTTACACGTGGTAATGAGGAATCATGCACTTCAATGACTTCGAATTGATGGACTAGCTGGAATGATTATCTCGACATTGCACGACATTGCGATCTCACGACATTGCTATCTGACGACATGATTGTTTGATAAGACTGGGCTCATTACAACGTCTTCACCCAAATAAAACTTGCAGTCATTATCGCTGTATCTGGACTGCAAGTTGTCCCAAGTATGGCTATAATGACGGGACACTCTTTTTCCTTTCTTTTAAAAAAGGCACCGGCCTTGAAGTATCATCAAAAGAACTGACCGACCCTAGGTAATCCAAAATTGTAGTATTTCACTAATCTGCTCTCAGCAGAGTTTGAACTTAGGTGTGTATTTCAACAGTTGAGGGGTGTACCAACTGGCCTACCAACTGATCTAGTCCAGTTGGTAATGAAGGGGCGCTCTACTTGGGTGAAGACGGTACCTTTCATGTCTTACATTTTGGGTTTCATAAGCTACCATAGTACACATGTCACGTCACAGAGGTATCCCATTCGGGACTTGAGGAGGCTGGGATGATGTCTGCGTTTCAAGAGAAGGGCCATCATACGAATAGGAGTAATCAGGAGTCCCTGACATATGTACCCTGTTGAGACTTGAGGCTGGGATAAGGTTTGCGTGTCTCATGAGACGGTACTTCATCTCTCAAGCTTCATCACCAAGTTGCAAGCATACCTGCCCTCTCGAAGCTTTGGCCATCAGGTAGCTCTCATGATTTGATATGAAAACCCTTCTGGAGGCATGTTTCTACTTGACTGGTGGTGCTGTCCTGTGAAAAGCTGGCCATCAGGTAGCTCCCAAAGTTACATTCCTGTTGAGTCCAGTTTCTGCTGAGAATCCTTCGATTGTTTTTTTGCAAGCTACCTTGATCCCTGTCCATCCCATCATCGCCTTTTTTTCCACAACCTGGTGGGCAGCGCTGCCACAAAGTGGCCTCGATATTATAGTTATATGTCGCACGCCATTGGTCTTGCGAGCACTGACTAGAATGCTCCTTAAACCATTAGTTCACACAAGCCTAAGCTGACAAAGCTACCTTCCAAGGCTCTCAAGCCTGCAACTGCACCTTTTTCAAACTGGTCTGCCTCTTTTGCTACTGACACAGGCCCGAATGAAAATGCTCTTACCGCGTATACCATTAAGAGCACTACTTTGGTTCGTGGGAACCGGTGGTTTCACAAATCGGTGCACTGGTGCATGATCCGTGTATCCCTATAATCTCCAAGATACTTCCACAGGTTCACCCACAGAAACCTTGTTACAAATTTTCCTTCCTCTAAATGATAAGCTTCAATGAACTTCTCACAGCAACCCCAGCGGCAAAACGCTGAGATCACCGTGATCCAACATGCATCCCTAAAATCTCATAGATAACCTGTTTGTAACTTTGTATGGTGGATAAGCACACCTTCAAAACCAAAACATAAAAAAACAATCAAGCAACACACCTTATACTGATTCCAACGTTTTGTCCGGAAATACTCTGCTCGGACATTGCCCTCGGTCTTGTAGTCCTGTCCATCATTGTTTACATCGGGAAAACCATCTGTCAGTAGCACTCAGAATATTGCAGCATTCTACAAACAGACACAACCATGTGGCATGAGTTCTCGTCACCACAGTCCAACCCCGACCTCTACTCCCCATTCCCCATCAAGACACTTGTAATGACCCGCACAAACACAGACTGAGACCCTCACTGCTGATTTCTGAGTTCTGCCACTGGAATGGATGCCTTGCTGAGATTCCCTCATTCTGCCGAGTTTTCTAAGTTTGTGTATGTGTGCGTGCTTGAGGGTCTGTGTACCTGTCTGAGTGCTTGTGAGCCTGAGTGTGTGTGACCTGCAAGGGTACTCGCTTGCTTACCTGTGGCCATGACATTGAGGTGGCGGGAAAAGAGGCCCACGACACTTAGAGCAGCGAAAAAACACTCAAGAAGCAGGTAGGCCGGTACCACACCAAGTAGAAGTAGACGTGCCGGGTACTCGAGGCCGAGCAGAAGAAGACAAAAGTTGGCATTTTTAGAGGCCCAGTAGTTGTAGGCCAGGTCTAGGCGGGTACCAATCCAACCAGTCTGAGTCTAGGGCCTGTATGGGCAATATCAGAGTCTGCAATGATGTTTCCCTCCGAAAGGGAGGAGGTACCGGTTGCTTGGGAGGCCGCGCGGCCTAGGAAGTCACCGCCCAAGAGGCAAGTAGGCCGCTATATCTCCAGGAGGAGCAACGTGCTCCTCCTCATTCTTCGGTGTGCATGCTTGGCGACACACTGCTGGGAGCGTTGGCTGGAGGAGTGCTGGGCACTTCAGCACTGCTAGGAGGAAGGAGACCGGGAGCTCCCACCTCGGCTATGGTGGAGCTCTACCGATAGGAGGAGGAGGGAGAAGAGGACTGAGGAGGAGAGTGGCGAGGTACCTACCTGGCTATGGTGGGCATCATCTTCATCACCTTGTTGGGCGCTGCATCTGAAAGGCCCCAGTTGGGGTTGCGCTGCACCAAGAAGGCTTCAAGGCAGAGTCAGGCATGGCGGCCTGAGAAACAGCGGACATAGCTGCTCGGTGTAGTCCTTTGCACAGCAGGGCCAGGCCCTTAGTAGTCCGCCATAGCCTTGGCCTACATGAAGAGGAGGAAGAAGAGTGTCATGGCTATGGTGGACCTCATGTTGTGCCTTAGAAGAGGGATTCGGACATTGATTCTGGTTCAGCCGTTCAACATTATTATTGTTATTTATTGTTTGAAGAAGAGGGGAGGAGAAAAGGAGGACGAGAGAGGTTGGCGAGAAGGAGGGTATTATCATTGGTCTATGCTGGTGTACATCTTCTTCTTTTTTCTTTCATCTTCATCTTCATCTTCTTCTTTCCCTCTCTCTCCTCTCAAGTTCATTAATTTCTTTTTGCAATTGGACAGCATTGTACTTACTGATGAATGTGTACTTCGAACTTTCTGATGAATGTGTACTTCGAACTTTCGATGAATGTGTACTTCGAAATTGGCCAGGATCGTAACATTGGTATCAGAGTGGATTCTACTTGCTGGCGAGAGTTGACTTCGCTGCCATAACCCTAACCTAAGTGGTTAGGGCTAACCACTTTGGATTAGGGCAGGAAGTTAGGGTTAAGTGGTGCAGCGTGGTGAAATCGAAGCTGCTCCCACTGGCAGGGTCGTGTAGGGTCGACAATAGACCTGCCCAAGTTGCTAGAGTGTGTGTGTGTGGTGGCGAGACACAAGGTGGGACTTCGTGATGCAATTTGAGAGAGGCGACAGCGAAGGGAACCTACAACTGGAATAAGGACTGCAAGGAAGACAAGGAGCGACTTTAGGGCTCCCCTCAAGTTAGGCGAGCTTGAGGGTGGCAGCCATATCCGCACCAACGGACTGCAAGTTGCTACTTCGATCTTCAACATCGACGGGGGATCCGGCGTTGTACTTTGGGTTAGATGTCGACCCTCCTAGATGATACGACACTAGTGTAGAGGATGCTAATTGGGTCAGGAGAGGAGGGGGGGTGAGTTTCATTTCATCCCAAGACCCCGGCCACTCACATAAGTGTCGTGTCACAAGGGTGCCCATGTGTGTGTGCATGGAATTGATTGCATGTTGGGGTATTCTGGGTTCTTCTCCCATCCTCTATGGTCTTGATCTTGTGTTGAAGTGTGTGAACTGCTTTCTCACCTGATGCGTGAAAGGATGGAGTATCTCGTGCGCAATGCCATATCTTTCTACAACACTTTATTTATTTCATTCTGAACGGCTGTAGTCTGTAGGTTCTTTCTAGAGTTGAAATTCGTTTTTTCAGTACGGTAGGGTCAAAAAATAGGTCTTTGAGGAACTCTTGTTGGTTGGGACCCGGTCTTGACTCAATTGGGACCTTTTTGGACCCAATGGGATTGGGCCCAAACAAGAAGGGCCCCTTAGGCCCAAATCTGTTGACGTCAGTCACCTTGCTCTACCTTGTTGGGAATCGGAGTCATGCTTTTGGACCAGGACACTTGCTGCTGAGGGGATCTCAGCTGAGACGTTTCACAAACTTTATTGCACGGTCCGCCGCTTGACTCGCACCTTAGACACCACTCAATTCTCTCTCACATTGTGTAGTACACTTCGAATTTGATTTGCTGTGTTTTTACAGGACTGAGTCTGATTAGGCTTGAGGGGATCGCATACATAGTCGGACCAGATTGTGTTGCTGAATCAGATCTCTCTGATTTTATTTTATTTTTTATTATTTTGTCTGCTCTCCGGTCCAAATGAATTGTCGCTCCGGCTAGGAGTTCTACCTTCTCTTCCGACTGAACTTGAAACCGTTTCTTTTCATTGGGTTAACTAATGACCATATCAACACGATCGCGGACGAGAGAGAGAGTAAAGAGAGAGAGGACGTTGAGTGTTGCACTTGAGGGCGTCAGAAAGAAGAAGTGGTGTACCTGTCCAACGAGGATGGCGAGAAACCCTCATTGTGAGAGGCTTTCCCAAATCTTTTCTGAATTGGGTGTTGTCAGTCATAACAGAGTTGACATGGCAACAGGAACCATAAAAACTTCAGTCAGTCTCAAGGTACAAATGGATGCCGCAAACGAAGAGGATAAACCTTCTTTCTTTATCCTCTTCCAAAATGCACTGAGGAAGAAAGCGAAGGCGGAGGAAAAAGCAGCGGAGGAGAAGGAAAAGGCCACAATACAGGGCTATGAGAAAGTCTTCAGGACAGTACCCTCCCTGCCTGATGAGGAAGTGAAGTCTCATTCGGTCACTTGTGTGCGGGCACTGATCAATTGTCACATGATAAGTACTCTTCCTGCCTTTGTGTCCCAGTTGTTTGATCAGGTGAAAGACCTGCGAGATACCATAGCCCAGATGGAGAAGAGGCACAATGGCCAGCTGCAGCGAATAGCAAATCTGCGGCAGACTGACCTTAACCCCCCCCTTCTTCCAAATGCATCAAGTTTCGCTGCCTTGTCTACCACCCATGGCCCCCTCTTCTCTTCTTCATCTTTGAGCTTGATGAGTATGGGACCTGCAACAAGTGCACCTTCCACTGCTGTTGCACAAGCGGCGCAACGAGCTCTACAACTGGTGCAGTCCCACTTCCAGTTCTTGCAGATCCTGGCCCTAGTAATGGTTTTTCCTATGTGGATAAAAAGGCGGCCATGTTACCGCCCAGATACTATGGGAAGGACGGTGTCATGTCTTGGCTCGCGGCTATGCAAGCATACTTCAACACTTTGGGAACTCCCCCGGTTACTCAATCAGTTGTCGTGGGAACCAATGTCGTGCCCGAAGTACGGAGTTGGGTTGAGCTCCAAGCCATTTAGGTCGGATATGCCAAACTGGACATGAACAAGTGGCTAAAGGCCACTGAGATCACGTCACTCGAGGAACTCTTCATCAAACGCTATTAGGATCCGCACGCTGCAGCAAGAGCAAAATACCGGCTTGACTATGTCAAACGCAGCAAATGGGCCAAGAGTATGAAAGACCTGATGACACATCTCAACAATCTCTTTGTCACACCCGGCTTGGAGATGACAACACAATCATGTCTAGATGTTGTCAAAGGCACGGTACCCTCGACCATTACTAATCGTCTTGGGCTAGGACTTGACGAACACACAGACTGGTTTTTCCTCATGAAGGATGTAGTCAAGCTAGAGGCACAAGACCTCTTCCACGCGGTAGGTAGAGTTATTAAAAAAAAAAAAAAAAAAAAAAAAAAAAAAAAAAAAACTTTGGTCGCAGACGGCATGGGGGCAGCAGCCATTTTGCATCACACGACCTGCTGGAGTCCGATGATCAGGTTGGTGCAGATGGTTCTACTCTTGATGACGATCAAGAGCAATATGCTGACCTGACGTGTTCTTTGACTTAAGAGTCTGAAACTGTAGATGATGATGAATCAATGAATGCCTTTAGAAAGACTGCCTTCAAAAGAGTAAGGGGCCAAGGAACTCAGTGAAAAACAACACTAACACCATTCACCTCCCCAAAGGAGCAAAGATTCCACCGAAACCGGAGGATCCTGCTACAAAACCATGGGTAGATCTCCGGATTAGTGAAAGTGAGTGGAAACACAGGATCAAGAAAGGGGTTTGCCTGCATTGCACCAAGTCGGGACATTCAGTCCAACAATGTTTCAGATTGCAGCAGGGAAACCAGCAAAATGGGTAGAGATATTATCAGCACACTCTACAGAAGGAGAGGCTGAACAAGTAAGTGCAGGTCCTTCACCGTAATCTGATCTCACTCAACAATCCTCTCTTGAGACCCCAAATGATGTTGATTCCACGGCATATCCTCTACAAGGAGCCTTGGGTGGAGTCGGAAGAAATTGACTTGCATGCTCTCTTGTTGCGTTGGGCTCACATGAAGCAAGAACGCGCACAAGGGAAAACGAAGCTGATCTTCTTCAAACTCTGCATTAATGGCTGATACATCCGTGCGCTGGCTGATTGTGGCGCAACCGCCAACTACTTCTCACCGCACGGCATTCGTAAGGCATGCTTGGGAATGAAGCAAGCGGCTTG